TGCAGTGTTTGGTAGTCATAGGCACACACTGCAGGGGGGACAAAAACAGTTGCCCAGAGAGCATTGAAATACTGTTTTTACTCTTTTTCACCCTACTGAAGTCAGGGGCTTGTTTTTTAGTCATGACATGTTACCTACACAGCATGGCTCTACTTCCTCTTCAGATTCATATTCTCAAGATTAAAGTGGAAGAAATTGAGCTACAATCAACAAGAACACATTATTTGCAATAGTCAAGTTTTTTGATAATTTTCTCATTTCTTGGACCTATATCCAAGAAAGAACAAATAGCAATTGCTGACTAATTTCCTGATAATTTGTAGTCACAACCATTAAGACACACAAAGGGTGTTGTGGTACTTCATGCATTGAATCTTGAAAAATATTTTCAAATTCTTCTATGTAGGGCATAACACAAGAAAGTATTATTACATCAATTTTATCCTGTAGCTCTTTAGCCTTAATTATGCAGTTTTCTTGAGAGTAGCAAAGAACTCACTTAATAGACTGTATCACTTTTTGAGATAAGTGGCATATTTATAGCTTCTGTAATGTACATTGAAATGAGGACAATTATAGCTTGTTTCAAACGGCAGCGTTCAAACACACTATTTACAATTAAGAATTAGTTTTAACAATACAAAATGAGGGAGTTAATGTTTGAGAAATGTACAATGATAATGACAATTATTTGAATGTTACTGCCATACTTAACATTATTCTACTCTACTCCTCTGTGAACACGTGTTGTCAGTGTTGTAGGCTGGGTTTGTGGAATTGTGTAGATAACATGGATCTAAAAATGGAAGTAGAACATTTTCTAGTCACAAGGTACAGCAGAGTAGTTTGTACATGCTGTAGGTACCGTAGTTTGGACATACTGTACACCTTTTCATTTAACATTTTCTCTTCCACCCTCCCATTTTATTTGAGTTTAAAAAAATAAAAATGAAAGCTCTTGAGAAGGTCTCTCTAAACTTAGTTGTGTTCATTTAGTTTCATTCCCTTTTTACATGGGATATTTGGCTGGATTTGAGTGTTCTCAGCTCTCATCGAGGCTGCCTGGCCCTTAGTACACAGACTTGTCTTCCTTCCACCCAGCCTTCAGTTATATCTGTTCAAATCCAGTGACAACCTCCCCCGACAGAACAGCATCTTAGAGAAGTAGGTTATAAAAATGCTGTGTAATGACGGGAGATTGGGAAGCTCAAAATTGCACTTGCAAACTGAAGGGATTGAACTAAGAACAGCCTTAGAGCATATGTTTATTATTTAGGACATGTATGTGCTCCAGGCAAAACTAAACCTATTTCAACTAACTATCCCTGCACTCTACACATCATGAACTCTGAGCTGTCATCATCTTCAAACATCCTTAATTAATTTATTTTTCTCCACTAACAGAGCAAGAAGATGATGAGTAATGTAAGACCAAGGGAAAAAAAAAGTGAAATTATCTTATAATCATTGTACTACAAACATATTTTTTTGTACATACAAAGGGTTTGGAAGTGAAACATCAGTGCAGGAACTGACTGTCAGATCCAGACTGATCAATTCACAGGTTACAGAGATTATCTTGTGCCTTTAACACTGAATGGTAATTTAAACATACTTACTCACTCTAAAAGATAACTCCCCTAAAAATGCTTAATGTTCAGAGTTATTTTAATGCTAAAATAATTGTTCTCTAACTGCTAAGCCATTGCATCTAATCCTTTTGAACAAAGATTTCTCCTTGCAATTCATCATAATTATATCTGGCTCCAACTGGAAAGGGTGACATTACAGTGTTTTCTCTTGTGATGTTTCTGTGGAAGTCAGTCATTATTTGGAGTATGATGATTTTGTTTTACCAAACAGAATTATAGAAGGGAACTGGGATGTTAATATGCTTTGTGTCTCAAAGAGTCATAAGTACTTATGAAAATATATTCATAGGGACATTAGAGGCATCACAAAAATTTGTGTGCTTAGTTATTTGCAGAAAAAGTTTCAAGATATAGACTTACTCTGCTAACTTGCTGATTTTATCATAAAATTAAAAGCATTCAAAATTCAGTTTTTTCTTTATTTTTAAATAATTTAAATTTCTTAAAAGATCTAATTATTTTCTTGCTATTAAATGAACAAATATTATTTAAAGGCACTGTTCTATTCTATCCACAAAACTATATTTAATGCAAAACCAATCTTGCCTATAATATCTGTGCTTTTGTAATTACCCAGTAATAGGTTCAGTGAAAACACTTGTAAGATCCCACATTATCCCTTATTTTCTGGTTACTTGTACTTCAATTCTTTTTATCCTTAGCTGCCCTTTCTAAAGCTCAGTTTAAGCTCAAGCAAGCCATGCTTTCAGATATGGCAAACCTTAGGAAAGACAGACTCAGAAAAAAACCTTGACCCTCAAGAGTCTGTTCAGTTGGGAAGTTGTACTGGGGCAGATTGGACACGTTTTCAGACCCCACAGCCCTTTTCCTCAGGGCCAGTCATGATTTCACTTGGCTGAGGTGAGTCAGTCTGGGAAAAACCAAGGATGTAAAAAAGGCTGAATTACTGTCACTGGAACTTTAAGAAAGCCTGTAACCCCTTTCAAAAGATGAAAAATAATCATCAAAGAGCCTTTCAACTCTTTATATGATTAGTTAGAAGCAGGTGGGCTTGAATGCGTAAACCTGAAGCTCTATAGATACAAACCTGAACAAAAAGGTCAGATTCCTTCAACCTGGGAGAATCTGAAATGTACTGATTCCCCAGAAAGAGTGGCTTTTTGTCCCCCGATATTAAACCAAGAAGATCTGACCTGTCACTGTGACAGAGATAGCAAAGGAAAGGAGTGGTTGTGCTCCAGGAGCATTTTTGCATTAACACCAAAGTGCTGAAGTCCCTTCACCCTCAGTCCCGGCTCTGTCGCTGCTGCCCTGGCTTGGGGTTCTCCCCTCTCACCATCCAACTCTTTCCAAGGGCTCTGACAGCAACTGGCAAGAGGATGGAAATGTTTCTCACGTGGGTGCAGCTCCCCTTGTCACAGAAACTGGAAAGCTCATTTTTATTGTTGTCATAACTGAACACAGAGCAGAAAAAGGGCAAACCCTGGCTGTTAATGGTCTGTGTTGCTCGGATCCGTGGCCTTTCTGGCTGGATGTGTCATTTGTGTTAAATTCCCTGGCCTCAGCCTATACTGTTAAGAGGACATGATTTTCCTATGGTTCTGCTGTCACAGGAATAGGTCTGTAGTGATTTGAAAAGAAACTACAGAGCAGCTGATGAACAGAGTGATGGCTGAATGACTAAAGAAAGGAGGAATGCAACTGTGTAGATTTTCAGGCAAGGGCTGAAGCAGCCAGTACAGAACAGCCCCAAATGCAGCTGACTTGAGTCCTTCCCAGCCATCCCAGGGTTCCTCTGTCCCTGTTGTTTGCAGTTCATTGAACAGTTTCTTGGGATGTCTTTGGTTTGTCCCTGTAGTCTTGTCTGCCTCTATAGGAATTATACAAAGAGAAATGGTTCTAAGGACTTCTGGCTCTGCAGCTCTGAACAAGGGCTTGTACGCAAATGTTGAATGTCTGCATGGCAGGGACAGTGCAAAAACTGCTTACTGAATTAGTTCATTTATGGAGTCATGGGAATTCATCTGTAAATAATTATTTGCCACCCAATTAACCAACTTGGATGAGAAAATGTGGAATATACAACAGGTATGGAATGAGGGAATTGTAATGCATTTTTGCTTTTTGAAGATATGATCCTGAAATGTAGATTATTTTCAATGAACCAACTTTTCAATAGCTAAACTTTAGCAAACATTCATTAATTGCTATGGTTTGATGGATGACTAACCAGAGAGGAGTATCCAGATTATTTGAGAAGAATTTGTTATTCACATTCTAGAAATGTCTGTTCTTCCTTATGCTTCAAAAAACATATACTATAGTCAAGCCATCCTAGAACCTAGGGCTGTGTATGGGGCTTTCAGGGATTTCTAGGTGCAGTGGCAATCCACTTATGGCCATTTTTTAGTGGCCTATTTCCCAACACAGATCTTCAAATATGATTTGCAACTGTCATGTTATATTTTGCCTTATTAAAGAAGAAGAAGAAGACTCCTGTTTTTCTGAGCATTATGCAACCTCTGGGGACTGCTTGTCTGCCAACAGTTCAATTCATTACAATACAACACTAAAATAAAGTATAAAGGCCTGCAAATACATCCTCCTCCACAAAATAATAGGCTTGACCACATTTTCCTGATAAAACAGAAACCAGACCCAGATCTATTTATGTGGCTTAATAGATGCATAGGAAGATAAATATTTAATTACCAATTTGACACTGTTTATCAGTTATGAGCAATACACTGTCTCTGGTGCACAGCTCTGATTAGCTCTGTAAAACACAGGACAGGAAGGAAATAAAAAGGCGTTTACAGATATTGGCTGACCAGTCTTGTGGATCCTGTGCAGCTTTTTATTGATTAGTCTTATAATGCCTTTGTATCTAATTAAAAATTCAGGACAGGCTCTGTAAATAAGCTGTAGACAATGTCTGGTCTAAAAGAGGAACTACCCAGTCACAGAAATGAACTGGGAATACCAGAAGCTCCATCTGTCCTGAATAATTACACATGTACAAAGTGGTTTGCATAATACAGTATTTTTTACATTCAAAACCACTGGAATAGTGAGCAGAAATCCAGTTTGTCTAGTATTTTTTATGAAATTCATAAAGCTAGCCCTTTCTTCCCCCTGCAGTGGTGGCTTTATCCCAGCAGTCCATGAACCCCCTGGAGGATGGGAATGGGCAGGAGACAAGAACTTGTTTTTCTGCCTGTGAGCTGTTCAGAACTGCTAAAGCCTGGATGGTTCCACAGGTATTTAAAAGCCTGTAATTGTACTGAGAAGTGCCAGTGCTGAGTTCTAACCAGAGAGATCCTTCTTGGTTTGATTGTGTTAATAAAATCCGAGATGAACCTGGGGGTAAACACATCAGTGTCTTACCTGAAGTAGTTTTCACCACCTCAGTTGTGTTTCTCAGTCCTGTGAAGGCGAACTGGTAAAGCCTCCAGGACCTGGTGTCCCCCACCTCGACCGAGCTGCGCTTCCACTGGTAGATGATCTCTTCTCTGGGGTACCCATCTGATTGAATGGGAAACACAGAGGGCTTTGGGTCACACTCACTGCTAGGCTTTGGCTGGACTTTGGGCAGCAAAAATACTACTTTTGATTTCTGAAAAACCTGGAGAAGCATATTGCAAATAAATTATAGCTATGTTTTCCTCAAATTGCTTAGTAGTGCCTTTCACTTAATGTCACATTTTATTTTATTAACTACAAATTGAAATCACATTTGAGATAAATTTTTCAAAAATAGCCTTTCCACTTTTGTGGACCCCATAGTATATAGTTTTTTCCATCCTTCAGTTTTGGACAAAAAAAGTCTGCAGCTGGACCAGGAATTCACACCTTGACCTGACTGCAAAATGTCAAACTTGAGTCCAACTAGTGCAATAATAAAACACCCGTGCACAAACAGAAAGTATAAGGTCACGGGACTTTGATGCTGAACTTTCTACTTTTATCCTCAGATATAAGCATAAACTAATCACATAGGTCCAGAAATTTGATTTTTTTACATAGCATTCCTCAATTTTATATGTGAATATATGATCCACATACCGAAAATAAGATCAAAATAAAAGTGAAAACCATTGGGCTATGTCTAATTAAGAACATTATCTTCACTGACTCTAAGAATGTAAATATAAATTTATAATAAGCAGTTCAGTGTGGGTCAGAAAAGGGATCTTTTTAAGCAAGTTACTTACAGCTTGAAAATTCCAGGGGGCAGGAGTGCACATCCATTGGGAAGTTGTGTAACTGTAGCTGACACTCTGCATCAATTGTCAGCCTGAGAAGAGATCAGGATATACAGAATGCACTTGAGAAGTTTGTTCTGAAAGCTACATCATGGCAAGCAAAATAAGATTCTTCATAACATGGATCTTGACTATGAAATATATAAATATTATATATATAGGGAGAGAGAGAGAGCAGAAGTAAGTTATTGAGAATTATGTAATTGTTTGAATATTCCAAGCATAGGAAGACATCATGGTTACCAATAACCACTGTTTCTTTTTTGGTTACATAGACCCTGGTCGTCTTTTCAGATCGTGTAACAGAAGAAGGTATTAAAGTTCTGTTCCTCTGCATCTCAAATGGCAGCATTACTCATGACTAACAAATCCATCAGTAGATATACAGGTCATCTCACGACCAGTGACAAATCTTTGTATCACAACATGCCATAATGCACTAGGGAAATGTATATTCTGTGACAAAAATTCTATCTCAGAAATGACGGATGGCAGTCCAAATTTAGACATCTGCACTCAAGACAGCCATCTAGACTCCCTTCCCTGCTGGTGCAGAGGTGCTCTGAGGATACACTTCATTTCAGCCCAAAATACAACATTTACATTACCGCAGGAGAAAAATGAACCCAAAGGGGTTTCTCTCCATTGAATATTAGGAGAGTCTCTGTAAGAACTCAGATAGATCAGGTGAAGACATGTACCTTTAGAAATCCAGAATTAGATGAGATGTACCCCCTGATGTGCCTGCTAAAAACTCTACCATTTTTCATTCAGTCCCATCCTTGCCATGAGCAGTGGGATCTTGAACTTTGGAAAGGAGGGAGGAGGTGGGGTGAGAGAGGAAAAAAGGAAAAGGGGGGGGAAATGTTTATTTGTTCCATGAGTCTCTAGGAAAACTGTAGGTTTTTGGTCTTTGCTGACCAGCCTGTGAGCTGGGTTTGTCTCCAGGATCCCGAGTGTTCCTGCCTGCAAAGGGCTCCCTGAGTCTCACCCTGTGGGATGCAGGGGATGCTGTGACCATTAACCACCAAGTTAATGAAGTCAAAGGGAAACATTAGGAATTTAGGAGCAAATCTAATTTCCTTGTTGCCCTTCCTCTTTTCATTTTCATCATCTTGAGTACCACAGATACTTGATTTCCTGCTGGTCAGGATGGTTCTTGAGCCTGGGGGAGGTGACTGAGAAAACTCAATCAGCCCTTTCGGAGCTCTCTTCTCTTCAGAACAGAATCCCAGATGTGTTAAATCACATTTCCCTTGTGGTTTAATCTGGGTCAGATCCTTACTGGTGCTTACTGTGGCTCCCTAGCACGACTGAGTATACACTCATAACAGAAAACTTTCCAAGTTCTATCAGATACATCTCTTTCTAATGAGAGAACCTGAGGCATTCGAAGAGAAAGGTAATGAAATCCAAAGAGACAGTATTGTAGCCAAGTTCAAATTTAACATTTCCAAAGTGCATCTAGGATCATTTTTATCACACTGACTTTGATTTGCATTGGGTTTCAATTTCGATTGTTCTCTTATCTCTTTGGGTGATGCAATATGTAATGAATGTAAAATAACTATGAAATAAATCTCCTTTTTGTAATTCAGACAGCTGCAATGTTAAAAGCCTCACCTCTATTCATTAAAATTATGAGTATAATTTTCTTCAAAACTTTCAGTCTAAAATCAGATGATCCTATGTCTATCATCTTTGATTCTCTACTCTCATTTTAAATTATAAATAATCTTGACAAAATGCTGTATTTATCTGTATTTTACATAAACCCAAGTATCATATCACATGTAAAAAAAAAAGTAAAAAACCCCAAACACTTAAGATTTTCCCATTTAGGAAGTATCTTATGGTGATTTGTAATATGATATTTGAGTTGTTACGTATGGCACATGCTACACATTAATGTAGGCACACGCATAACTTAATTATTGAAAAGGGAATCTGTCTCTGTAGAAAAGCTACACATGTGACTGGGAAAGCTGGACATGAGCACAGCAATTCCAGGGTCATGAAAATTTTAGTGGAATGGGGCATATCCATAGGTTGGGGTTAAACCTTAAATGTTCAATGCCAAAATGATAAACCTTACTCTCACTGGATATTTGAGGAACAAAATGCTTTTGCAGTGTTGAGCTTCATCTAGCTAAATTGTAGTCAGTTCAGAATAAGACACCTTTGATGTATATAATACCTCCCTTTATACCATCTACTTAATTCAAAGAAAGTTCAAATTTATTAGTTTAGCAGAATAAAAAGGTAAAAGACAGTAGGGACCAAACCAGTGGCAAACAATAAAACATACCTGAAAATGAAGAGTAATTACTGTAAAAATATCTGTAGTAATTTTAATATAGGAAGGTGACTATTGTGGAGCAAGACAGTACAATCTATAGGAAGAAATAAAATTCTTTATTGTGCTAATATAAAATAAATGTCATGCAATGACTATCTTCTAAATACTTCCCTTTTTCAGGGTTTTATGAATAAATAAACAGGAAACCCCAATGTTTTTTCCTTCAGGTTAGTGTCAAATGACCTGAATCCAGAGGGTCTTTCTCTGGCTTTCCTTACAGAAATTAAAGTTATGTGTAAATACCTCAATGTGTACAAGACTCTGCCGTCATTCCAGATCCTGAGCATCCTATTAGGAGTTGTTATCCAATGAGCATCAGCTTTCTTGGAATTTCGGAAAAATGTGTCTGGTATCCAGATCTTCCCAACCATGTTGCTGTTTAATCTGAGCACTTTTATAGTGCTGTTGAACTTCAGACGTCTGTCATACCACGTTTGGGCGAAAAATATATCAATTGTATATTCCTGTTGTGTTAACCAGAAATACTGATGAAAACATAGCACTCAGCATTTTACATAGCTCCTGATATGCTTTCCTTAATTTCACACGAAAAAACTGAACTACACAAGATGATCCTAGAACTGATAAAACCAATTTTTTTGTGAATTTTTGAGGCATGGTTTACAAAACATTATTGTTTAAAACCAATTTATCCTGTTATTTTTCCCCCTGAGAGGTAAAACTAAGGTAAAATTGAGTGTTATATGCACCTTTCTAACTCTCTGTCCCTGCATCTCAACCCAGGCCTGCTCAGGCCAGAGAACAATTACCAATTTCCTTGGCTCTAGGACAGGAAAAGTTTGAGCTGACTGAACTGCCTGTGTGCCATGGCTATGTCAGCAGTGGGAGGTCTGTGGAGAGGAGCTGGGCTTTCTGCTTTTTATCTCTTGGTGGCAAGAATGGTCATATCACTGGTGAATGGCTTTCCTGAGTTTGTAGCAATCTGGAAGTTCAGTTTTACAGGAGTTAAACTGTCCCAAAGCATGTGAAAGTAGGGCACATGAAACGTGTGGATATCTTAAAAACTATTATTACTACATTTTTCAGCATAGAGCTCAGTTTTCCCATCTCATAGAGATTTATACCTCATAATAGTCCTCACATTCATAATTACAATGAGGTCTTAAAAATAATACAGGTACAACACAACATTTGAACTAATGGAAGCTTTGTAATGTCAAAATGATGGAGACTTGGCAATCATTTACATACCATGTTGATGGCATTCACAGGCCCAATGCTGTTCACATACATGTCAGTGTGAATTATTGTCGGCTTAACTGGAAGAGAAACACAAGAATCAGTGAAATGAATGAAGGTCAAAGTCAACTACATGGAAGTCAAACACAATCATATTATTATAGTACTTCTCCTGGATGGCTGTGGTTGCCTCACATTTAAATGTGCATATACAATAAATATAGATTTGCAGCAATGTCTTCAGTTTGAAATTAGCTGGAGACACTTTGAGACAAATTCTTGTATCACTTATTCTATCAGAACTAACTCCCTTATGGTACGAGAACAAATACTGAAACCAATGTTGTTAGCTTAGAGTGACTCATATCTGACTGAGAGGATGTATATTTTGTGTCAGGTCACAGCAACACGTCTGACAAAACACTATCAGTGAGATCAAACATTTTTCTTATGGTGTTTTGAACCACTTGTTTTACATTATAATGCCAAATGCAACATGATTGCTGTTGCCTGCAGAGGTGGCTGTAGGCAAGTAGCAATTTCAGGTGCCCAAAGCAAAATTAATACTCAAGGCTCTCAAATTAAGGCTCTCAAAAAGAAATGAAGAACAGCTGTTAGAATAAATTTATTTTGAAATTACTCTATTGTAGCTTTATTATTCTTATACACCTTGACTAAAACATGATTTTTTTCTCAATTGCTTTTAAGAATGTCTACTTCCTCTCTGTTTCTGGAGTCTTGGATCGGGAGAATGAGATAAGTTCCTCTGCTAATTTACACTGTATATGTACATTGAAGGTTAAAGACTCATGTTATCCCCCACTGTGAAAAATTCTTTAGTTTATAAGCCTCTATAAAGTTGTCAGAAACAGGTTCCTTCATTAACCTTGCTGCCCTCTGCTTTCCCAGGCCTTCCTCAGCCATGAAATCTCCCTGCGTTTTTCTATAATCTTATTACTGCTGCACCCTCTTCTGCAGAGGTATTGTCTGCCTGTGCTGGGCACACATGGGGCTTCTCAAACACACTTGCAGCTCTTCAGATTTTTCTCTTTGAGCTCCCTCAGTAGTCAGTGGAGAGGAAGATCCCTGTAAAAGGTGATTCAGTCAGATAAGGCTTCCATTCCGAGTCCAGATTTAGGTCTATGTACTTATACAGGCTGTGGGAAACATCTGGGGAGACTGGCCTTGCCTGAGTGCAGTTATTTTTTGTGACTCTCCTTCTCTGTGCCCCATTCATTCCCCTGTCACCTCTTGCCCTCTGTGCAAGTGAGGGCCCAGGCTGGATCAGCCAGTGCAGCCCTGCTGCTGTTGGAGGCTCTGTATCCATCACATCACACAAGTATCAGGCTGTGGTATCCTCTTTGACCTTCCTTTTCAATATATTATTTGTGATTCTCTAACACCCTCACTTAGGTATAAAAAGATGATAAAAACTTGCTTTTTCAGTCCCCAGAAGTTAAATTTAGAACTTCCTATGCAGGTAGATCATTACAGGCAGCCTGATTCAGCAATTAACAACAGTCTTATCAGATGTTTTAGGATAGATTCAGCAATCTTAATTTATGTCAGCTTCCAAATTCATGACTACTTTTCATGCCTCTGATGTTTTACTGCATTGTATTTTATTCTCATAACTACTTTGAATGGATTATGCTTCCTGTGTGCAATCATATGACATAAAAATTGTTTCTCTTCACTGCTTAATCCAAAGTCGTCTAGAAAGAAAACCAACATACCTCCTATGTCAGGTCTCAACTTGTTGTCATATCCTTCCAGCAAGCCATTTAAAATAAGAGTCACATCACTCTCATGGACTTTGGGAGTCAAAACCCAAGTCTTATTTGAAGTGTAATCTTCATAATCATCATCTCCCTTTTGGGTGGAGCTAATAAAGAAATAAAAATGAAGAAACAGCCTTGAAAAATACAAATTGGCAGGTAACTTTTTTGGGACACAAAACACACCCACTTCAGGCTTTAATAATACTGTACAAAACATTGAAAAATTGCCTGCTTTATAAAAGGAGGCTCCCAATAAAGGTGCCATGTAACAGTTGAGGTTACAGTTCACTTTAGCAGCATTTCCTTCTAGTACAGTTGGTCCCACATTCAGTCTGCTCGAAGGAACACCAGTGCTTATCACCTTTGCTGTGCCTATTTTTCCTCTCACTGCCTCAGGTGGGACCTGTTATGAAACAAATCTAATTGTCAACTTATGCAACTCTCCCCCAAAATATCACTTATTATGTACACAGTGTTGTTGCATTACTTCTCTTGCAGAGAATGATTGGATGCACCACATGACTGACATGACTGATAATGAGATTCATTCAAACTAACTGTCACACAGCTTTTCTCCACTCTGACGAACTTGAGCCCATTGTGATTTTGGAAAGTTCAGCACAAATTTTTGCCAAGGGTTTTCATTTTCACTTTTGCTAACCAGGACCCAGAGAGGATAAAGTCTGTCTGCTAGTTGTTTCTGCTACTGAGCAGGATGGCAGCAGATCTAATTCAACCTGCTTATCACAGTGAAGAAAAAAAAAAAGCAAGTTAGGAGTCAGAAATGTGTAGACTAGTCTTAATGGATGTTTTGTTTTCTCAAAATCTGTCCCTCCAGTTCTAAAGGAGAATACAGATACTACTTTAGGATATGACAGAATCAGATATTTTAATTTCAGAATGTCAGTGGTAATCATCTGAACAGTGCTAGGCAACTGTTTTTTGCATAATATACCAGTGTCCTTCTTTTCTGACCTGCTTCTGTGACAAAGTTTGAACACTGCTAGATATGAAAAATCTTAATGATACTACAAATTTCTTAAGCCAGTGGGTGGAACTTGGATACAAATGGGTTAAAACCAGAATATTTAGTTATTTTCCCATTTCAGCCAGAATTTGTACAGGAGTGGGAAAGAGCTCAGAGAAGTAGATTCTTCTGGGGCCTGGGTCTTGTGCTTGGCACACGAGATTGAAAGGGGCCCAGCTGGCCATGGGTGCAGTGGTGTAGGGAGGAGTGGGCCCAGACTCTGAGAGCACCACTCCCTTACCAGCAGCCTCAGCTGAGGTTGTGCCCACTCGTCCCTGCAGTGTTATCCTGCTGCATCCAATTTGGACCCACTCACAATGGATGGCCTGCAGGCTCTCCCAGGTTGGGCTTTGGGAGCTGTAAACCAGCTGCACAAATACAACTGAACTATGAAAGAGCTTTTGGGTCCTTTCTTCCCCATGGGCACAACCTGACAGGACAAAGCCACAGCACATCTGTGCCTCCCCGTGTCAGACTCTGCTCCCTGGGGGGTGCTGAAGGTACAGTGACATTTGCAGCACCTGAGACGGTGCCCAGGGAATGTGTAGCATGAATAGAGAGCCAGACTTGCACTGCACTGAGTTGAGCTTGGATTGGATAATCTCTGCCTTTGTTACATGTCCTGACTTCCACTGAGTGCAGCCTCCAGGCACCCCTGAGCCACCCAGCACCAGTGCCATGAACCTGGGAGCTTCAGCTCAGGAGCCACCAACCCAACTTCTTCCTTCTGGCTGCACAAGCCTGAGCCTTTTCTGGGCAGTGAAAAGCAGGGGTTTAATTGGATATATGCTCCGTAGTATTCTGCTCGTACAGACAAACGGGTCAATATCATTAAATTGGGGAAATTTGTTTATTCAGCTGTCTGGAGTTCAAAGTTCTAATTATAATTCAAAGGAACATAACTGAAGCCAAGTTCTTTCTCTTGGAGGAAAGAAAACCTTTCTAAATAAAGTTTTTGCAAACAGAAGGCACTAGATTATATGTTTTCAAACCATGCAAAGAGAATGAAGAAATACAACTTTATGTATAAAAAGCCATATTCCTGTTTTATAACCAAATAAACATTCATTCTCTGAAAAGAATATAATTTTCTGAATGGAAAAGAAAAAGTAAATCAAATGCATTCTTGCATAAAGGCAACGTGTTACTGAATATCAGTGTGATGAGAAAGCTTCAAACCAGCTAGTTAGTAGAATCTGGTGTCCTAGACAGTGCAAGATTAGGAATAGGTTTGTCTAATGGTTTTCTCAAATCTAGAACAACCTTATTGAACAGCAGTCAAAAGTCACTAAAACTTCCATTTCTTCTTGGAAATTATTTGCATGAAAGAAATACCTACTTATTTGTTTGCTGATCTCTCATTTCAAGCCATTTTGGCAGTCCACATCTCAAAAACCAGCAAATACTTTATGAGATTAGTGGGAGACAGAGGAGAGAGAACACAGCCAATGTAGCTAGGGAAAAATGCCACTAAATACCAGCTTTTATCAGAATTCCAAGAGGATCACAAGTTAGTATTGGTATGCAATTGTCTAAATGTGTCTCTGTGTAAACCTGCACACCACCCAGAGCAATCTGAGGTGCATCTCTATCCAGATGACCAGGGCTTTAGTCATGCCATGCTATTAATACTAATGAAAGTTATAATGACAAAGCCCTTTTCATCTCCTTAAGACTTTCAGATCAGTCCTTCTCATTATATCATCTAAATTTTGCAAGAGCTTTTAATGTCCAGAACAAATTTGTTAAAGCCTAGATTATACCCAAATGTATATTGAAATCTGCTTTTATTTTTATGACTGCCAGAAGTTTTCAAATCTATTAATATAGATATGAAAAGAAACATCTATTTACCTACTTGCAGATTACAGTAAAATTTTTGAAGGTTAATGTTTCAGACACTGATAAGAAATCTCAGCAGTTGAGATATTCCCACTCGGACATTAATGCCACTGCAAGATGTGTGCAAAAGTGCTCTACAGAAATCCACTTTCCCTAGTTGAAAAAGAGAAGGCTTAAGAGAGTCAGAACTCAAACCTGAAACTTCAAGCCAAAGAGCACTTGAAGTTCGAAGGCGCTTTTGGAGGTCATCTGGTGCAATCCCTGCTCAGTTGGCCAGCTAAGCCTGTATGAGGTAGCTGTGATGGTAATTACTTACATATATATTTAACCATCAGTGTTTAACATTCAGGGGGCTCTTTGTATGACTCAAATTACCTGAAATACATCTTCACAAAGCAGAGAAAGGGCAGCAATCACCACATGCTAATAAGCATTTATTGATTTAGATTAGATTTTTTTGTATAACATGTGCAAAGATCTGTAAACTGCTATCTCACTCTACATTTACATAAAAACCTCATTCTTCCACTGAGCTTTTTACCATGTCAGGTGTTAAACAGGAGTGAAAATGAATTTTAAGTATTACCAAGAATTTTCTGTGGACCTTCACCCCAGAGTCAGTTCTTCTGCTGAGATGTGCCTGCTGTTGCATTGCCCTTTACAGGCAGAATCAGAGTAGCCACAAAGTGCAGAAAGGAAAAGACGTGTAGCAGTACTGAATAGCTAACAATTAATTGGTTTAAATCCAATTAAAAACTTACATTTATTTGTTGAAAAACTCTGGCCAATTTCATCTTTTATACAAAGTAGGCTATAGAAGTTATAATGCCTTCAGCAAAGATTTAATAAACTACTTGCATATAGAATGAGTTGTCCATTGAAAGCACCAATCTGTTCTACCTCTCAGGGAAGTACTGAAACAAGGCTTGCTGGTTTACATAACAGCACTGATTATTTAATGAAGAGTCAAGTTAAATTCATTCTCTGATGTGCAGAAAGAATTACCTTAATCTATAGGTCATACATTAGTCATGGTGATAACATGGTCACTGTGAGGGAAGGAGATTCCAGGTTCCCACAGTGGATGCAGAGCTGCTGTATGCAGAGGTGACACATGAGGATGAGGAGCATACAGTGTCTCTGGCAGTCCAACAGTACCTGTGTTCTCTCTGGGCACTGCCAATCACATTTTAAGTAAAGCCATCTCCATTGAAACACAACATGTTTTCACAAAGCTCTGTCCTGGGTTCTCTCGCCCCGCTCATGTTTCCAGGCTGTCCATTTGTATTGTTTAATACAATACAAATCCTGGGCTATGCCCAGGATTGTGCTATTATCTTTACCAGAAAAATCCATCCTATTTTCTCTTTTACTACTAAGTGTTCATCACAATACCCAACCTTCAATTTTCTCAGCACTGTAAATCATGTAATGTGGAGATTAATTTTTCCCAAATCATTTCTTACATTAAAGACGTAAACTTGGAATAATGCTTTGCTTAGAGAGATAAAGAGGAGATCCAGTCATTTAACACGTTAGATGTGGAGAAATTTGAACTATGAAATCATGAAAATCATGTAGTCCTACTCCCTTCACCCAGAGTTGTGGTGCTGGTGCAACTACAATTCTGGATGGAGTTATGTTGAAGAGCCTGAAATCCTAGATTCCCAGAGTTTCCAGCAAAACTTGTTTCACACCTGGCCAAAAGAGAGTATAAGCTGTATTTTGGCCCTTTGATGTAGTCATGGAGTGAGGGAGGATGAGGAAGTTCACAGGAAGAAACTAAATAATTTTGTCCTCTACTCAGTGTTTTGGGTAGGGTGGATTTTAGGTCAGTCACCTGTAGAAGGTAGTTTATTTCGCTGGCAACTGCTTCTGCTCCAGCTATCATTCCATGAACTATTCAAATCATGTAAAGTATTTAAAACCTTGTCATGAAATGATTACTGCTTAAAAACCAAACAAAACTCAGTTTTTCTTTCATCCCTAAGTCACAGAGGCACTGAAGTGTACAAGGCAATAATTATTAAAATAATACTATAGTTCTCATAAGCTGAAACATTAGGGTTACATAGGGACTGAGTACACAAGTCTCAAAATGGGTATTCAAGACCCAGAAATCACTAGAGGAGCACAGATGAGCACTCCCAGCAGATGACTTCTCAGTCATCTTTACTGAGCATGAAGCCCTATATTGCCAGCAATCACTCATTTCTGAAAACTGTGCCTACCCTG